GCGCCGTCCACCTTCCAGGCAGCCATGAATGAGATTTTTCGGCCCCTACTGCGCCGGTATGTTCTGGTTTTCTTCGATGATATCCTGATTTACAGCCCTTCTTGGGCAGATCACTTGGCTCATTTGCAGGCAGTATTCGAGGTTCTACGGGCAAATCAGTACTATATCAAGGCATCCAAGTGCGAGTTCGGGGTGCAGGAGGTGGAGTATTTGGGTCACATGGTGACTCCACAGGGTGTGAAGGTGAACCAGGCCAAGATTCAGGCCATGGTAGACTGGCCGGTTCCCACGACGGTGACGGAGTTGCGTGGTTTCCTGGGTCTGACCGGGTATTACCGGAAGTTTGTGCAGGGGTACAGCATGATCGCCCGGCCATTGACGGATTTACTGAAGAAGGGGGGGTTTGTCTGGTCACCAGCAGCGGAGGCTGCATTTCAGCGGCTGAAGCAGGCTATGACGACCACTCCGACGCTAGCCATGCCGGATTTCTCCAAGCCATTTGTGATCGAGGCGGATGCATCGGGCCGGGGAATAGGGGCGGTGTTATCTCAGGACCGCCATCCCATTGCCTTCATGAGCAAGACACTAGCCCCCTCCAAGGAGGCTTGGTCTACGTATAAGAAGGAAATGCAGGCGATTATTACGGCAGTGCAGACCTGGCGGCCATACCTCCTGGGGCAGAAGTTTCACATCTACACTGATCATCAGAGCTTGAAGCACCTCCTCGAGCAGCGGGTGTCTACTCCGGATCAGCATAAGTGGGTATCGAAGCTGCTAGGCTACGATTATGAGATTCACTATCGACCGGGGCCCACTAATGTGGTGGCGGATGGGTTATCGAGGAAGCCGGGCAGCGAGATCCTCGCCGCAGTGACAGGGCCTGTTCCGCAGTTTTGGGATGAGTTACGGGCGTCCATGGAGACCAGTCAGTATTTGCAGGATTGCCGGGAAATCGCAGTGAGCGATAACCCGGGTCATTATTTATTTCGGCAGGGGCTGGTGACGTTCAAGGGTCGAGTAGTTCTTCCTCCTGGCTCGAACCTAGTCACCTCGGTACTTCAGGAGTTCCATGACTCGCCGTTGGGAGGGCATTCCGGCGCCGAGAGGACGCTTCGCAGGATTAAGGGCCATTTTTACTGGCCCAGGATGGCACAGGCAGTGCGAGACTATGTGGAGTCATGCGATACATGCCAGAGGGTGAAGTTGTCTTACCTGCGACCCGCCGGCCTTCTACAGCCGATGCCGGTCCCGGAACGGGTATGGGAGGACATCAGCATGGACTTCATAGTGGGGTTGCCCCCTTCTGGTAGGAAGACGGTTTTGTTCGTAGTAGTGGATCGGCTCACGAAATATGCTCATTTTATGCCCTTGGCGCACCCGTACACGGCAAAGATGGTGGCCGAGCAGTTTGTCTTGGGAGTGGTGCGACATCATGGATTTCCCAGGTCTATTGTCAGTGATCGTGACCCGGTTTTCTTGAGCAGGTTTTGGCAGGAGGTTTTCGCCCTGGCACGGACTGTACTACGCATGAGTTCGGCCTACCATCCGCAGACTGATGGACAGACAGAGATAGTTAACAAGTACCTGGAGCAGTACCTGAGGTGCTTTACCCACCAGCAGCCGCGGCAGTGGCTGGCCATGCTTCCTTGGGCGGAATTGTGGTATAACACCACATTTCATAGGTCTATTAAAATGACACCGTTCGAGGCGCTGTATGGGAGATCACCCCCGACATTGGTGCAGTACAGAGGTGGGTCGAGCTCGGTGGATGCGGTGGACAGGTGGTTGAGCGCGAGAGATGAAGCTCTGGAGCAGTTGAGGACTAATTTGGCTGCAGCGTCCAATAGGATGAAGCAGGCCGAGGATGCAGGGCGGCGGGAAGAGGAGTTTGAGGTGGGTGACTGGGTTCTGTTGAGGTTGCACCCCTACCGGCAGTCCTCGGTTTTCAGGCGGGCATACCAGAAGCTGGCAGCTAGGTACTTCGGGCCGTACGAGATCATCCACAAGGTCAACCCAGTTGCCTATCGACTACAGCTGCCTGCGGGTTCGCGCATACACCCGGTGTTCCACATTTCCTTGCTGAAGAAGTACCGGGGCCAGGCGGACAGGGTGACGTCGACGGCTCCTCCGGTGACAGCAGATGGTGACTTGGAGCTCGTTCCTCTCAAGGTACTAGAGACCCGGTGGACAAAGAGAGGAGGGCGGCTGGTGGAAGAGAGCTTGGTGCAGTGGAAGCATGTGGAACCGGACGATGCGACTTGGGAGGAGTCAGAGTTGCTACGCCAGAGATTCCCGGCCTTCGACATCGAGGCCGATGTCGATTCTGAAGGAGGAGGGGATGTAGGAAACCCGACTCAGGGTTAGAGAGAGAGGGGGCCGGTCGGCCAAGAGGGGGAGGGAAGGAGTGGCAAACTTGTTATTTTGGGTTATTTCGGTTTACACTACTTAAAGACGCATTTCATTAGTTTTGGGAATTAAGCAATAATACACAGAAACTATCAAATCCCTAATCTCTGTTCTCTCTCTTGTTCTTCCCCAATTCTCCAAATCCCTAATTTCTTCTCTTCTCAATCCCTAATATCCCAATTGGGATTTCTTGTGTTCTACAAAGAGGGTGAATGCTACCATTTTAGTTCTCATCCCCAAGGTTGCCAAACCGACCCTCATCGAGCAGTTTTGTCCGATCAGTTTGTACAACGTGGCGTATAAAATTATTACGAAGGGCCTGGCAGAGAAGTTGAAGCCCCTCATGCCACGTCTGGTGGGTGAAACCCAGACCAGCTTTGTCCCGGGTCATCACATTACTGACAATATTTGTATTTTGCAGGAAGTAGTTCACTCTATGCGCGCTAAGAGGGGGAGAACAGGTTGGATGGTGCTAAAGATCGATCTCGCCAAGGCTTACGTCCGAATCCGGTGGTGCTTTGTTCGAGACACTCTTAGAGCCGCAGGAGTACCGGAGGAGTTCAGCAAGCTGACCATGCAGTGTATAACCTCATCGACGCTGCAAGTGCAGTGGAATGGAGGGTTGACTGAGGAGTTCTTACCATCCCAGGGTCTATGTTAAGGATGCCCACTCTCGCCATACATTTTTTACTCTGTGCATGGAGAGGCTGGGCCATCTGATCAGCGCCTCGGTTGAGAATAAATCATGGAAACCCATCCGGATTTTGAGTAAAAGCCCAGATTTATCGCACTTGTTTTTTGCAGATGATCTCATCTTGATAGGGGAGGCGACAATTGAGCAAGCTGCGATGATTAACCGTTGCCTTTAGTGTTTCGGTTCAGCGTCGGGCCAGGAGGTCAACCGCCCGAAGTCGAGGGTGTTTTTCTCGCGCAATGTCACGGATTTGGTTGGCGCTTCTATTAGTGCAGAACTGGGAATACAGGAGACGAAGAATTTGGGAAGATATTTGGGGGTGCCTGTAATACACGATCGAATCTCGAAAGCTACTTATAATGCTCTCATTGATCGAATTGACTCTCGTCTTGCAGGATGGAAAGATAAATCCCTCAGTCTAGCCGCCAGGATTACACTTGCTCAATCAGTGCTATCCTCTTTACCTGCTTACACGATGCAGACCTCGTTTCTCCCCGCGAGTGTTAGAGACTATGTTGACAAGAAGATCAGAGCTTTCGTTTGGGGAAGTTCGGAGATGGGGAAAAAGATCCACCTTGTTGACTGGAGTACGGTTTGCAGACCTAAATAGGAAGGTGGGCTTGGTTTGCGAACGGCTACGAGGATGAACGAAGCTTTTATGCTAAAGATCGCTTGGCGCCTCCTCTCAGAACCAGAAGCTTTATTGGCACGGGTTGTCAGGGCCAAATACTTAAGAGAGAGAGGCGGAGGATGGCAGCCACGCACATCAGGGAGACTCGGGAATTTGTGGCGAGGGGTATTACGAGTTCTCCATCTCCTTCCGGAGGCCCTGGTGTGGAACGTCAAAAATGGGAAAAGTGTGCGCTTCTGGGAAGACAGATGGTTATATGATTGTCCCCCATTAGGCGATATGGCGGGGGAATTACCAGAGGTAGCAAGGTCCTTGTCGGTGGCGGACCTGGTGCTGAACAGTGAATGGAATGTGCAGTATATTCAGGCCTTCCTCCCCCAGCAGGTGGTGCAACAGGTCCTACTATACCCGCCACCTCATGAAACAGAAGTAGATGTGTCGCTGTGGAGGCTTACCGATTCAGGAAAGTTCTCTGTCAAAACAGCTTATGAACTCACAGACGAGGACTATGTGCCATCCGGGAGTCGCGCGTTGTGGAAGTCGATATGGCGCACTCCAACTACACAGCGTATACGGTCTTTTCTTTGGCTGGCAACCCACCGTAGGCTGCTCACTAATGAAGAAAGGAAGAGACGCCATTTAACTAATGACGATAGTTGCTCCATCTGCGGAAAGGGCCCGGAATCCACTCTTCATGTGCTTCGGGATTGCCCCTACGCAAGGGCTGTGTGGACGGGCTTCTTGGAAGGGGCGGATGACGAAGCATTCTTTCAGGAGAACATGGATAGGTGGTTGTTACACTACCTGACAGGGAGAGGCCGGAAGGTGGGTGCCACGCTCTTTGCAGTAGTTTGCTGGTCACTTTGGAAAAATAGAAATACATGGATCTTTGAAAAAGTTCTTGGGCCAGATGTGGAAGTTCAAAAACGTGCGGATTGGTGGTATCATCAGATTCAGCTAGCATGGGCAAAAGAAAAGGATATAGAAACAGGTGGAAGGACGAGAAGAAGGGAGCTCATAGCTTGGACGCCACCACCGAGAGACTGGCTCTGCCTAAACTGTGATGGGTCGGTGGTGTATGCCCAGGGAAGCGCTGCAGCAGGAGGCCTGCTACGTAGAGATGATGGGCGGTTCGTCCGAGCATTCACGTCCAACTTGGGGGGAGGTTCTATCACGAGAGCGGAACTAATGGGGATTTCAATTGGATTGAGGATGGCTTGAGAAGAGGGAGCAAGGCAAGTTGAAGTGCAGACTGACTCGAGAACTGCTATGGAGCTAATTCGGGAGTCCGCCGCGACGCATCCGCACTACATCTTGATCTCCCAGATTCGGCAGCTGTTGAGTAGAGACTGGCAGGTGGAGTTCAAGCATGTTTTCAGGGAGGGGATCGTGGCAGCAGACTTTTTAGCCTCGCTGGGGCATTCTCTTAGCGTGGGCGAGCATACGATCACGACACCCTACCCGACGTTGAATCACCTACTGCTCTATGATGTAATGGGTATCCAAACCCCTCGCTTTGTGTTGAACAATGTGGCAATTTATATGTACAAAACGTAATTGAAAATTAAGAAGGATTACAAAATAATAAATTATGGCTCCTATCATTATGAAAAATACTTAATTAAAGAAAAAAAAATCTCCTTCTCAGATCACACAGATATCTTTCTGAAAGTAAAAAAATTTCACAACTATAATTTTTGTTACTGTGGGAATCATTTAATTTTATTTTTCAATTCTCATACCGAAAATTTTTGGCTCCATAATCTTAAATTTTTGGCTCCAATTCATCAACTTGGGCTCTTCCCCATTGTGGATTCTGCCGCCAACTAAAAGTCCTAAACTTTTCATTCTACCGCAAACTCCCTCAAACTTTTGGCTGTGAAAATTTTCAAGTGACCCGCCTTCATACTTTTGCCTTATCTTTTAATTTAATTTTTTTATTTTAAAATTCTATGATAACTTTACCAAGTCCCAGCTTATCATGCGTTCCAATCCAAACTTCTAAATCAAAATGAATCCCTCTCACCTTCCCCCGAATCTCCACAACCCTTTGCGTCTTCGTCGTTGTCGCTTTTACGTCTGAGCCCCAAGGAGCTGGTGACTCCCCACCGGATTCACCGCCTAACCCATCATTGTCACTGACCGGCGAAAATTAAAATTTTGGTTAATTTAACTCTTCAATAAAATTATCAATTAAATATAAATAAAGTAAAGTAATGTATTTGGTAATTTGATGTTTTTAAAAGGAGAGGGAAATTTTGGTGTATTCAACTTTTTGGGAAGAGAAAGAAGAGGGAAATTTGGATCTTTGAATTTTTTAGAAAAGAAACAAGTGGAAATTTTGGTGGTTTTGATTTGCGGGAAGAGAAAAAAGTGAGAAAATTTGGTTCTTTTGATTATGAAAGAGAAATAAGGAGGGAAATTTTGAGCTTTCACCTTTTTGTGGAAGAAAGGAAGGAAAAGGGAAATTTGGTTCTTTCAATTTTATGGAAGAAAAAGAGGAGGGAAAATTGAGTGTTTCTAATTTATGGAAGGAAAAAGAAGAAGAGAAATTTTAGTATTTTTGTGAAAAGAAAGAAAGAAACTTATTTGGTGTTTTCAATTTTTTTGATTTTTCAAAATTTTATCCTTTGAAATGTGAATCTTTAATTTTTATTTGAGGCGAATTAATTCTTATATGCTTTGAAGGGTAATATGTATGTATGTAATTTTTTATGAGCTAATAAATAAATTAACCATTAGTTACAACAATTATACTAAACTTGATAAGTAATCTTTGACAGTTCGTTGTTTAGGGTATAAAGTATATGGTTAGGGTATAGGGTATAAGGTACAAGGTACAGATGGTTTACGGTGTATATGGTTAGGTTATAAGATATTAATGGTTTTGACGGTTCCAAGTTTTTTATTAACATATGTTCACGGAGCACTTCTACTATGCTATAAATCATAGGTGTTTTAATGTACAACTTAAAGTTGTACCATAACTTAAAATGTATAAGTTTGGGTTGTACCATAAAGAAATTTGTATCCTTATGTTATGGTACAACTTCACAACTTTAAGTTGTACCATCACATAAAGGTACAAGTTCAAGTTGTACCATAAAAGAATTTGTAAAATAGTATTGGTACAAGCTGAAGTTATACCATAACGTTAAATGTACAACTTAAAGTTGTACCATAAAAGCAAAAACTATAGCACCAATGCTATATAGCATTGTAAAATTTCTCATGTTCACTTGATGTCATTTGAAGTCTTTAACGACAGGTGATCCCTTTTTAATTTATGTTTAGGGTACGTGGTTAGGGTACAAGGTATGTGGTGTAGAGTATGAGATATATGGTTAGGGTATAAAAATTAGCAAATATCATTTTTTATCTATGTTTTGAAAATCAAAGTATGAATTTCACTTTTAAATTAACTATACTAGCAAAATCACAACTCATAATGACATATGGTTAGGGTATAGGGTATAGGGGACCGTATGTGGTTAGTGTATAATGTATACTACGGGAAAAGTGGCTTTTGGCAACACTTCAAATGTGTTGTAAAAAGTGGCTAAAGTGTTGCATATGCGATATGCAACACTTTTACTCTTGTCTCCTATAAGTGGCGTTGTATAAAGTAATAGGTAACACTTTTCTAACTTTTTACAACAAAAAATATGTGTTACATACATATATATATATATATATATATATATATATATATAGTATATGCAACAACATTTTAGGTAACATTTTTTTAAGAGTATAAACAACATGCATATTTTTATTCGTGATGGATTTTTTGTGTCACATAAAATGTACTCTATCGTGATAACTTTCGCTTGTATCAAATGCTATATACTTATGACGAGTTATTTCCATCACCAAATGTAATTTCAATTGTCACCAGTTTAACTTGTCACAAACGAGTCACGCTTCCGCGTGTACTTTTATAATAATAAGAGGTTTTTGTGAGAGTAGCAGTGTCACAATTTCAAATTTTCGTGACAAAGTTATCGTTTCTACTGCAACAACATTGGTCACAAGTTTTTTTATAGCTCAATTATATACCTTAAATTATGGGGTCTTTGTCACAAAATAACACTTTTGTGACTCCTATTTTTATCACATACGACAATATTAGTGACGAGTATACGTTATAAAAAATGATATACATTAGTGGTGATATTAAGCAAACCAAAAAACAATTAAATAATTAATAATAAAATGAGGTGTGTATTTATAAATATAAAAGATAAATAGTGTGGCGAATATCCAATATCTCTAACAATATAAACTAAATAGTATCAAACAAACCAAAAAACTAGCTAAATTCTCTTTAGATCAATCGGCAACTTCATGGAGTTCTTTCTAAAAGTATCATTTCTCTTCTTCTCTCGCCAAAACTCTACTTGGACAAAGCCAATTGTCAACAGTTGATTTCCACACCGTATTAGCTGCTACTCACTCAACTAAATTTGCAAGAACCTCTTAATGAAACTCTACCCACAGCTTCCTTTGCCCTTAACTCCATGGTTTACTTCTTGAGTTGGATAGCTCACATGAATTGCTTCAAACCTGCAAAGCACAGTATGTGAAAGCCCCAAAATAGATAATTGAAACAATAAGATAATCAACTAACAAAAAATATACAAAGATCAATGGTCGTTTCTTAGTTTCTAGTGAAATATGAGATTTTGTTGCCTAAAAATATAAATATTTAGAAACAAAAAAAAAAATTGAATAGAAAGCAGAAGAAAGTGGTGTACATTGGAGAAGCAGTAGCATGTAAGGAAGATGATAAAGAGGAGCTCACGCTAATTTACCCGAAGCGTTCAACAAGACTAGCTGCTTCTCCAACGCAAGAAGTGTTCATCATAGCAGCTTCTCCAATGCCTTGTGATAAAGAGGATGTTCATAGCAGCGGCCGGGATTCGGGAATCATGAGAGAAGAGGAGAAGCAGGGGAGATGGAGGGTGAAGACGCTGAACCTGTAGGGTTTTTCCTCGTAATATGCAAATTAAGATATTTAACAGAAAAATCAGGGATTAACTATTAAAGTACTTTCCTTTGTAAATATATTTGCCTAAGAGGGAATAATGTAGATAAAAATTCCTTCCCGGAGATAATGATCTCAAAAGATTCTCTATTTATAGTTAAAATAGTATTCAGTTCTATTTTCCGTGTACAACTAATTAACACCATTTTCATTTTTGTTTAGCCAACTAACACAATTTCTTTTACTTATCTTTATCTAAACGGCCTTTTACCAACGTATAATAGTGTAAAATATACTTTATACATTAAACAAATTGAGTATCACTTAAGTAAACCAACAATTTTTAGATCTTGTTGGGTTTTTTGTGACATAATTGTGACACGATATCAAATTTTTGCGGCAAAGTTATTGTTGCGGTAGTGTGAGCAACATAGGTTGCAAACTATTCTTGTTATAATATTTTTGTCACAAAAGAATTTTTGTTATGACGTTTTGTCACCTATGATACAATATAGGTGACAATAGTGCATCTGAGATAATAGTATATATTAGTGACATCATAAAAACTAATTTTGATTTTTCCGAATGGAGACTGAATCGACGACAATGAGGTTGCTTGATGGAACAAATGGAATTGAAGTAGAAATATTCCCCTATACTTTTTTCTTTGGGTCATTGGTTGTGCAAACTTCATCTTTTTTAAAGTTCCTTCATGATATACGAACTTCTTTTCACATTTTATTAGGATTTTCTTCTTTTTACAATTATAGTGAAGCTCTATATAGTTCTAAATTCTAGTGTTAAATTATTGGCAAAAAAAAAAATTGCGTGTTAAATAATATTGGTTGATATAATTTGTAACCTTTTTCTAATTTATTGTTGCCTATAATGTAAGAATATGCAACACATTTCGTTTTATAGTACAAGTGTTGCATGCTATTAAGGATATGGAAAAAAAATTGATGTACGGGTAATTTGTGTTGTATAAGATATATATTAAGCAACACATAATGTAAGTGTTGCATATTTTGTATTTTACGTGACACTTCTAAAAAGTGTTGTAGGACAAGTGTTGCCAAGAGTGACTTTTCCCGTATATATTGATGGTTTAGGGTATACAATCAACAACATATACTAACTTAATATTGTAGATTGAGGGTAAGGCTAAGTGTATAGGATATATGTTAGGCAAAATACAGCTGTATATCCACAACTATCAGGTTTGTGACAAATATATCCACAACTATCGAAATACATGAAATATCCATTTCCGTCCACTCCGTCAGTTACCTTGATGACTGGACAGACGGTGGATGCTTAGTTGGCGTGTTTCTGACCCCACTAAATGACGTGGATTAAAAGAGAAAAAAAATCTAGACAAAATACAGTTGTATATCCACAACTATCAGGTTTGTGACAAATATATCCACAACTATCGAAATATACGAAATATCCAAAAATTGGAAGGTTGTGTGACAAATCTATCCACTTTCGTCTGAAACTATAACGGTGTGTCAGACGGCTTTAAATTGACTAACGGAATTCTGAATCGATGCCATCTCACCTGCCA